TTTAATATTTTTTCATTTGATTAAATATATAATAATATATTTATAATATATATTCATAATATCTATAATTATCTATAATTAATAATTACAAATTAATTACAAAAAAAACAAACTCGCTAAAGAAGTAAATGAACAAGAAAATATTATTAGTAATGTTTGTCACAATATTATAATTATTATGAGATCATAATACAATTATAATTTTTAATTAATTTCCAAGAAATTCCTTTTAATTATTTTAATTGAATTCTCAGCTAACGATACATAATGTTAAACAGAAAAATTGTAAAAAGAAATAATATAACAACAAAAATAATAAATCTTTCTTCTCATGTATTTATTAAAGTAAATTCTTTCTCTGGATTTTACTTCGAGAAAAGATTTACTAGAACATAGAGCTGTCGAAAAGAAACTCTATATATAATTTTTCAATTAGTTCCTTTGTAACTTCTTGCTCTCTGCTTAAAGTATTGAGCATATTTTTAAACGAAGTCCCTGTTAGGTTATCCGACCCGAGAAAATTTGTACATCGCAGAGATGTTCTTCATTCTTGAAAACGTAAAGTATCGATGCTGCTCCTCTGATGAAATATCGATTCTTGACTTTTAAGAGTAAATGGAACCTTTCGCGCGATAGCGTCATATGAAATTCCCGAAGGACCGTCGGCAGTTGTATCGATTTAACGTCCGACCACGTATGCCCCGTTAGTTGTCATATGCGTGTCAGGTGCTCGCCTTATCTATTCGCAATCTCGCTCATATTCTTCTCCGGAACGTATGAATTTTTCAGTACTGTCGTCGCAAGATTCTTCCCTCGTTCCTGCTACGAGAGAAGTAGTAAAAATTCTCCGCGGGGGGACGGAATGCTTGGCGCGCCTGCATTAAATTATTGTGACCCAAGATTTGCCGTTTCTCCTCGCGTTTATTTCGTAATCGCGGAATCTTCGATCAATTTGTACTTTCGCGTCCCGCAAAGGAATGTGACCGCGGTTTTCATTTCTTCCTCAGAAACCAATCGTAAACCGAGCAGCAAACGAGAAATAGCATTGATAAACGATGTTATTGCTAATGTATTGAATTGTCAATGTACAAACTTATTGATTTAAAAAAAAAGTCTTTACCTTTGTCATAATTTCTTTACTTCTCCAATTCTTCCAACTGTAAAATAATGAAAGATTTTTCTAACAAGAAAGAGAGAAAGAGGTATTTTTTTAAATCAAATTAGAAGATTGGCTATGTAGCTGACTCACTTCTAAAAACACTACTTCAAACGAACCACGATAGGTGTTAAATTCTGCGGGTAATCACTCTTTTTTTCCTTTTTTTAAAACACCGATTT